TGGGGAATTCTGGGAGTTGAAGTCCACCCATCTTAAAGTTGCTGAGGTTGAGGAACACTGAGAGTGTCAAAGCTTTGGAGTTTTACATACTTCTCTCTGCAACAGATTTAACTCGGCTACCACCCTTGGACACTTGTGCCAAAGTAACTGAGTTGGCTTTGAAGACACCTTGGATTCTCCGCTTTTGTTCTGGCCCCCGGACAGCGCTTCTGGTTGGAGTATTTTTATCTCCACTCCTCTAACTTCCCATCACAATCTTGGCAGGGATCTGCCAGTTCAGAGCTCGAGCCTCCAAGCCACGCCATCCGTTTCCAAAGAACGGCGGTGATTCCCGAAATTCTCACCATGACGACGTTGGCGAGGTGAGCCGAGCAAAGCGCGTAGACCCCTCCTGAGCCTCCGACCAGGGGGGCTCTCATGTCTGTGATGGAGACAGTCAGTGAACCTAGAAGAAAATGGGGGGAGAGATGAGAGAAGGGGAGGACCGAAACCACCTTCCGATTTTCAGCCATGTAAATCGGACCCCATTTCGCTCCCCGTTCGCCGATCTCCTGCACGTCTCCTTGTCTGCCTGGGCTTCGTGAAGTCTCTCTTTTCTTAGAAACAGAGGAAACGGCCTTGCAGTCAATCATTGCCAAGGATTAAACTGTAGCTTTCTGCATAAAAATAACTCTCTCGGTTGCTGAGCTACAAACCTGCTTTTCCTTCTTGAAGAGCAGCCTTCGCCACTTGTCCATCACCCGGTATTTGAAAATCATGGTGGTTCTTTTGGCTGAATTCACGGTGCTAAAAAGTAGATTTTTTTTTCATCCAGTCTCCTTGGAGAAAGGATGATTTGGGGATGGATCGTGGAGAAAAGACCCCCACGGTGCACCCTCTCTCAGTCTGGTGTTCTCCAAAGATGATGGAATTCCAGTCCTCAAGGATCTAACTGCTCGTGGCTTATGGGGGCTGTAATTCCACCACCTCTTCAGGCATCAGATTCAGGAAAGCAGCTTTAGTCATTCTTTAGAGCTTTTGTTTTTTTAAAGATCAGGGGGAGAGTGATTCCGGAGCATGACATTTTTTTAAAAAAAGGGTCCCCTTCTTTCAAAAAGAACCCAGCATGCATGGTTTAGCGGCAAGCCAGGACTGTATGTAACTCCTGGAAACAGGCCTGTCGCAGAAGCCATCAACCACTAGTCAAGGAATTCTCATCAGTTAATATTTGCCCACATTGGCACTGGAACCAAATTCGTTTTCGAAAGGGAATAATTCAATGTGTTCCTTTGTGACAAAGTGAAAGGACAAAATCATTTTGATCAGAAGATACTGGGCACCATACATTTGGAAATGGGCACGTTCTAAAATAATTCATGCGTGTAACAGGAAATTCTGAAACCTTAATTCATCAGAAGGGCATCCTGTTCATTAATCCAGGATCTTTTTCAGAAATCAAGTAACTGGTCTTTAAATTATTATTTGACCAAATGCAACCACTCTTGTAATATTTTTAAAGGAAGGAAGGGGGAAATGGTAGGGCATCTGTAGACTGGGCTCATGAATCACATTAAGCCATGATTTGTTTATTTATGGCTTATATAATGAAGCATCCGTGATGGGACTGGCAGAAGACCTAAATCCATAAATTATCACTCACCAACCCCTTTGGCTGGGTTTGCAAAACATACAAAGGCTTAGCCTGATGCTTGGAACAAGCCAAGTTGAGCTATCCAACACAAGTTGGTCTTAGCAGCTGGTCTTAAGATTGATTTTAGGAAATCGGCAAATGCTTTTTGCCAGGGGCTGGGTGGATGTGACAGGCAGAAAGAATAACCTTGAGGACCAGGAGGAAGGGCTGCCACCAAGACAACAGTCAGATAAAAGAAACCTGAGTCCAGGCCAGAAATGTAATTGGAGAAAGCGCCTCAGACAGGACCCTCCCTAGTTCTCACAAAGATAAAGGGAGGGAGGAAGGAAATGTATTCAGACTTGCAAGATTCTGTTGCTATAACCCAGCGTTTCTCAACCTTGACGACTTGAAGATGGGTGGACTTCAACTCCCAAAATTGGAAAAACCCCACCCTTGCTGGCTGGGGAATTCTGGGAGTTGAAGTCCACCCATCTTCAAGTCGTCAAGGTTGAGAAACGACTTGAAGATGGGTGGACTTCAACTCCCAGAATTCCCCAGCCAGCAAGGGGGGGGTTTTTCCAATTTTGGGAGTTGAAGTCCACCCATCTTCAAGTCGTCAAGGTTGAGAAACGCTGCTAGAACCTTACCATAAAAGTAGCAAGCTGGCATGGCTATGGTTTCCAAGTTTGGTCTACCCTGAAGGGCTGACAGTGGTCAATTTGCTGGCCCAGGAGTCTTTCCCTCTTTTACTCTCTCCACCTTTCCAAAGACAGAGATGGGGACACATTCCCTAAGGGCCAAGGGAGCTTTGTGGCAAGACGCTCCCCAAAGCTTTATCCCGGCGAGGCTGCCTCCCTCTCTGCAAAGCGGGGTGGAGCGTGCTTGGGATCCTGAACTCCAACAGGGATGCAGGCAGGAAATGGGGATGCAGGCAAGAGTCACCCTCTGGGGGAGATGGGCAGCATAGAAATTAAAAAAATAAACAGATAAATAAATAAATAAATAAATAAATGATCTTAGCCAGGTTTCTTCGGAGGGTGGCAGAGGAGCAGCAGATGGCAAGAAGGATGGGCCGTCATGTCTAATGGCCAGTCCAAAGCTCGCCCCAGAGAGAAAAAGGAACATCCCCGAGCCGAGGAGGATTCATTAAATGCCACCAAAGACACCACTGGAAAAGGTCACTTCCTACTCTGCTGAGTAATGAGGAAGATGGGGAGAAAGACCCAGTGGGGAGCCCCAGACCACCAAGGGGATTGACCGGTCAGCATTTCCCGCAATCCTGCTGAGATGGGCTGATGGTTTCCTGCAGGTCTCTGAAGGGCATCTGTCCCTAAAGCCCAATCTTGGGGTTCTGCTCTTCCTAGGTTTTGAGAATGGACCTTGCAAAGGGGACCTGGGGGTGGAAAGGAGAGGGGCCTGGAAGGCAGAACCCAGAAAAGGAAAAACTACAGTCTTGGATTGCAAGGTTATGGCTGGCTGAGTCTGAAAGGGGAAGGAAGGTGGATTATTCTGCATTAACACAGGATGCAAAAGGATCTGTTGCTTCCACGTCCTCCTTGCAGGCTTGTCAGGCCACGCCGTGACCTGTCAGAACAGCGTCCCCTGGGAAAGTATCTCCAGGACAACCCAAGGAAATTCTCTTTTTCAGCCCGTCAGGGGCACCGAAGCACCTTCACGTTGCAGGGAGCAGATTTGGAGTGGCAAAACCGATTGCGAAGTCCTGAGAAACTCACCGTAGAGAGGCAGCTGAAATGATGCTCACACTGCGCATCGGAACTCTTTTCATGTATCATGGGGCATAAACAGGGTCATGTAGTGTAGTGGTTAGAGCAGTGTTTCTCAACCTGGGCAGCTTGAAGATGGGTGGACTTCAACTTCCAGAATTCCCATGCTGGCTGGGGAATTCTGGGAGTTGAACTCCACCCATCTTCAAGCTGCCCAGGTTGAGAAACGCTGGGTCGGAGCAACCCGAACTGGTGATTTATGATGATTTTTACATGCACTATTTACTAAGGATGCACCATGCCAGCCTTCCATGGAGTCTTTTTTTCTATATAGTAAAAAGAATCCAGTTGCATGTGGATTTCAGTCCGGTGAGGCACAGCGGCTGACCGCTGTCAAAGAGGGCTCTGTGGGTATCCTAACACCCTCAGGCTCTGCACAGCTGACCTCCTCTTGCAACAGATGCCTTCAGTTCTCTAGCTGAGCTGGAAGAAAAAGAGACAGGAGAGCTGCAGAAATAGCTGGGGTTCTCGACTCACCTGCCAGGACTCCTGCGAGGTAGAGGAAGCTGATGCGGAGAACACCGTGGACCATCTCCAGGGGCACCCCGATCATCAGCTGCAGGAGAGCGTTGAACCCCAGCTGTTCTAACCTGGAAAAAGGCCAGGGAGGAGACAGGTTCAACAGGCAAAACCCTCCGTAAGGACTCCTCCCTCTGTGCTTTGGAGAAAAGGCTACTCGTCATGAGGGCTAGGACCTTGAGATGCATCTGAAGTTCTCAGAGCCACACGCTTCATCTGCACACCATGAACCTGTTGCTGCGTCCGCTCAAAGCAACGAGCCGTTTTAGCGAGGATTTGTTTTTAGCCTAGTGGCAACCTATTCCTTTGCGTCTTCTCCCTCCTCCCTTGCTTCTCATCAATCTTTTTGTCTACTGAAGTCAATGAGCCCTTAAACGGAAATGCAAGGAGAAACTCAAAATATTAACATCTTTGTCCATCATCTTTGGACCATACTTCACCCCTCCGATTTGACTGCCTGGAATCCTTCCATCCAGTTACTTCAAGTACTGAACTCTACTTTAAATGCCACCTCTCCCCACCCCATGGAATAATTGTCCCCACAGCCAGATCCTCTGCTGCTTTCCGGAAAAGAAAATCTCACATTTCCAATCCTTGGATAGCAGTTTGGTGTCTGCCCCCCCCACCGTCCTGCTTCCATTCACTCCTTGGAAATAAAAAAGCAGATTCTTAATCTGCCACCTTGAGAGTCATTCAACATTAAAAAAAAAAGCCAAGTTCCTAGTCCTCATCACTGTAAAAGAACTTGCCAAAATCTGCCGTGGCATCTCTTTGCCGCAAGTCCCTTCTGATCAAAATCCTTGCTGCTGTTTTCGGTGCCTATCAATCCTTTCCCCCCACATACCCATACACAACAGCATGTTGGAGGAGAATAGCTACAGAAAAATAAAGCGGGGGGAAGAAAAGGCACAACTCTTTTCCTAATTATGCGAGTCAAGTTTGGCCATTTGCCTGGCAGTTAGATTTCTTGTCTGCCAAGTTTCCTCTTCCCACTATATTTCTGGTCTGCCACCCACCTAATTTGTAAACTTTACATCTGTTCTTTTCAACATTTCCTACTAGCCTCCTTTAGAAAAAAAGATGTTTAAAACTGCTGCAGAATTCTTTTTTTTTTAATCAAAGGAAGATAGATGGATGCGACGCACAGCCAATCAAGTTAATCTTTTGTTCCAGAGTTGCAAAACTGCTTTTCTCTGGAAAAGGCACCTTTGCCTCCAACATGGAAAGGACTATTCTAAATGGATTCCCTTCCACCATAAATATTTGCCTTCCAGCTTTTCTGTAGCTTTGGGTTTCTGTCTAGAATGTTCAGAATTTTCTCCCGTTTTTCATGGATATGCAATAAAACCTGGGGATTCAATTCAGCTCTGGTGAGCTGGCTTTAGCACCCCCAGCAACAAATAAATCTATTTTATTTTGAGGGGGGGAAATGAACATAAAGAGGTTTGTACAATGAAGAGAGAATGGAGACAAACATTGCACAGCAGAACAGATACAAAAGAAGCATATGAACATCTGGTTAGCAACACGGCCAGATGTCACTCATCAGCAAGTCATAAAAATCTACGTCCATCCATTTCTCTCACATTATTATATATAAAAAGATTGGAGCTAATTCCCCACTGGGAGCCATGAGAAAATAGCGTTGTGAAAAATAACGGAAAAAGTTCCTCCTGTCAATCCTATCCCAACTGCCAGCCAAAACTTTACCATAGGGCCTGATCTGCCCCACCAAGCCTTGTGGAAGACTTCTGCTCCCCACACAACCACCAGCAAAAGCTGACTTTCCAGGACACTGAGCCACAACAGTGATGGGCAGGTAATCCAAGAGCTTGTAGGCACACACCCCTTCCGAACACACTTGTTTCGCCCTTGAATGAGGAGGCCCAGCCAAGAGGTGGCAAGATCTGGACTTGCAGACATTGGGGCTTCAGAAGGAAAGCCGGTAACAGTTCAGCTTGCAGGCATTTTGACCCAGTTCCACCCAGAAGCTAGATGACGTTATGGTGGAGCATCACAAGATGATGTCACTTGAGGCCCAGATAGACCAGTGGGATGGACCAGGTGTGGCCTGAGACCAGCTTCCTCCATTCCTGCTGTACTATAAGCAGGGAAGAAGCAGGAGAAGACATTGTAGACACTCACCCTACATGCATGAACATGTACGTGAGAAACCTCCAGGCCCGGGCACGATGTCCAGGATGATAGACCAGAGGGCTTTTCATGTACTCGGGATGGTATGTCTGTAACACCCACTTGTTCAGCCGTGCTCCATAGCAAAGGAAAACTATGATCTAGGAGAAAGGAGAAAAGGTTACTGAGACGGCCTTTGTAAGTTGATGTCCTTCAAGTGGGTTGGACCAAAGACCCTGTTAGCAGCGCTGAAGACTATGAACTTCGTTTGCTGCAGAATCTCTGGGTTCTGGCTAAGAGGGCGTTCTCCAGGAGACCAGATAATGTGTTCCAGAATTCAATTCCCCTTTTTTAAAAAGTGGTTTTTCACTTCTTATGCTTGCCCATCCTAACACTGTGTCTAGACACGAACGGGCCAGCGCGTGCATTGTGACAGGGCAACACTGCTTTCATCAGTATTAGATATTGGTATAAGATGTTCTTTCATTAGTGTATTGCTCCAGTTTTGATGGCTAAAACGGGCAATTGTTTCTCTAGAAATTGCTGGAAATATAATGCACGGGTCAGATCACTTTTCCTATTTGGTAGCAATGCTGTAAAGTTCAACCGTTTGGAAAATGATCCATACTAGAATGAAAACAAATGATTGAAAGTTGAATTCTGATTGATTCCATCCTTGGGGAAAAAAGTTGCCTATCTAAAAAACCAAATCTGATATAGAATTAAATTCTATCTAGAAACTATTCCTAGACCACAACTTCATATGCTGATCTTTTACCACACCCCCCAATTTGGATTTTTCTATATTTAGAGTCTATATTTTAACTTCGTGGGAAATTAGATTTCTAGTACTGATTTAATTCATTATAGCTTATAATCCTAGTTAGTAATTTATATTGTGTTAACCAGGAATCCTTCACTGAAAGCTTAAGAGTGATTCTTAGTTTTACCTTAAAAAGTTTTCCAACATATCATTAACTAGTTATAAAAGTATAAAATGTATTATATTTTATAGTTTCTTAAGTAATTAATGATATATTGAAAAACTGCAATCTCCAAGACATGCTAGACCCCTTCTTGAGTTATTCACATCATGCTATTTGTACCTTGCCCTTTTATTCTTTTCACATGCCTTTTCTCTTTGACTGTATTCTTTCTTTAAAACGTATTATTAGAAAAACGCACACAGAGTATATAACCAAGCTGACCAGTTTGGTCAGAGAAAAACGATTAAAACTTTTTTTGAAAGACCGGAAGCCTTATGTGGACCTTTTGCTGAAAGAAGAAAAGACTGAATTGATGATTTATGGATTTGGGAGTTAAAAAGGGTTAAAGAAGAAGGGGAAGAATAAGATGGCCATTACTTGATAGAAAAACAGAGGAGGAGGAGTCATTCTATCTTTTCCTTTTCTCTATCTTCTCTCATTCTTATTTTTCCTTTATTACCCTTTTATTGTATTCAAAAGTTCTGATAATAAATGCATATGCAGAGGCTTTCACTACTTTGACCAAAGCATCAGATCTTGCAGTTGCCTCTGACCTAGGAATCAGGAGGGATGAGTTGAAGAGCTGGACTCCCAGCAGGTCCACTTTTAAGGCAACCCCCTTGTCCCCAAGTGTGCTCTGCACCCCAGCCCTTGCCAGCCTCTTCTCTGCACACCTGGGTGAGGGTGACCACAGCCATGAAGACCGGTGGGGGACAGGCACGGTGCTGGTAGAAGTACCACCGCCGGTGCATCTCACATGGTAGGATCTCATATGCCACGTAGCGCACAAAACGTTTGTAGAAGCCCAGTCCAGTCTCGTCCAGGAGGCCATCCTGAGGCAGGGCTCTCTGTCCGTTGGCAATGGCCCGCTTGAAGCTGCTGGAACGTTTGCTGCTGATCTGGAAAGAGAAACAGAGGCCCCCAACAGCAGGAAACTCACCGTTGGATCCTTAGTCATCCTAGATGACTTCCTAGAGACACCTAGATGACTTCCTAGATCCTTCCTAGAGACACCCAGCCCTGCCTTTGAGCCAAGAATATCTCCCTGGCAGGATATCTTCTCGACTGATATCCCCAAGTCCAAGAATCTGGAGAAGAGGACCTCCCAAGGCAAAAGGACTGAATTAGTCCACCCGCTGCTCAGAGTTTCCCTAAGTCAAGGCTGGTAAACCTCCCTCAAGAGGAATTTCTAAACGGGCAAAGGAAAAGATACATTGAGCTTTCGGCAATAATCAGGGCAGCTGAAATGCCCATCCCACCCCATCAAAAGTGGAGGGGAAAACCCAGCCTGGCCCCAACTTGTGTGAGGTCCTATCAGCCACGCCTTGCTTACTCCCCTGGCCATGAAGCTAGTAGGAAATCAAGTGTGTCTTTTTAATTGCGGAAAAGCCACCAGCATTGAACAGGGCAGATTGTAGGTCTACATTTCCTGCATCAGATCTGTTGGGCTGCCTGGACATGAGAGGAATTGAAGTTCAACAACATCTGGAAGGAACTCAGGTGGAACTCAGACCCATGAGTGAAGGATGAAGTTTGCACTGTTGCAGTTGGAAATCCAGACCACAAATTCTCTTGCCAAATGGGCAACGTCAAAAGAATTTTAACTTATTTGGTAGATTTACATCCCACTTTTTCTCACTCATGTGCCTTACATGGGGGTCTCCTTTCACAAGGACAACCCTGTGAAGTGGATTAGCCTGAGAGAGCAATGGGCCAACCTTACCCAGTGAATTTATATGGTTGAGGGTGGACCTAAACCTGGATCAACACCATCCTAAGCTAATGCCTTAACCACTACACAAACTGCCTCTACATCTCTCCCTAAATAAAGTCCACCTTTGCTTGAATGGTCAGGAAGAGAAGAAAGGAAAACTCTCCTTCTTCAGGTTTCAACCTGTCCCAGTTTTCTTTCATGGAAACATGTTCTCTGGATCCTATTAGTGGAGAGAAGGTCCCATGGCTGTGGGAGCTATTCTACCTCCTGCAACATCTGATCATGACCAATTGCAGAAAAGTGGGTGCTGCCTCTCCAGAATTGTCACCACAAGTAACAGCTTCTAGCCAACTTTGACCGACGTTGGAAGAAAGCTAAGCAGAGTTGGCCCTGGTTAGAATTTGGATGGGAGATCATTAGGGTGATGAGAGTGGGATTAATCATGAAGAAGATACATCGCTCCTTCTAACTTGTCTCTAGAGAGTGCATTGACTGGGATTACTGTAAAAATCCAGCATTAGAATTGAACTGCCATCAAATAATTCCACCCAAACTCAGAATTTGTTTGTATATTGGACTTTGCTGAGCCGGAATCCTTAGACTACAGCAATATGTAAATGCGCATTGTCTCTTGATCATGGATGGTGAACTAGCTTCAAATGCCAGCTTTAAATCCCTGGTTTGTAGTGACAGAATAGTCTAAAAACACAGGTGCATCTCAGGTCTTCAACAGCAGTTACTGTAGAGCAGTGTTTTTCAACCTTGGCAACTTTTAAGCCAGGAATCCTGGCTAGGGAATTCTGGGAATTGAAGTCCACCCATCTTAGAGTTACCAAGTTTGAGAAACACTGGTATAGAGGTCGGGGGTTTCTTCTCCTTCTTGCCTCCTCAGATGTTTTTACTCTGTTCTGCATTTTTTTTTCCTGACATATCTGCTGAAGACAGAGAAGGGAGGAGACAGGAAAGAAATCTCTAAAGCTGACTATCAATTTGCAAACTCCGTTTTGCTGGGAACCAGGGCTACCTCTGGATCAGATTTCTGAGAGACAGAGACTGTGTTCAGACCCAACAATAAGGTGTGGTTTAGCCATGGTTTATTAAAGAAATCCCAGCTGTTTGGGGTTGCACAAGTTATAAACCAGGGTTTACCAACTGTAGTGGCTAGCTTGGTTATAATCCAACGGTTACAGACTCAATCTTTCTCTATTCTGGGATTAAGCAGTGGAGAAACACCAGCTTAACAGAGAGGGCCTAAAGTGAGCAGAAGTGGAAAACACAGGGAATCCATGTCCAGATGCTGATACAGCCACCGTACAGCTGCTGGTACTCACGCCACTGACCAGATCTACCAGCTCCTGATAGCAGATCTGACCCTCCTCATTGCTTTGTGCCAAAGCCACCAGCATTTCCAGTTTCGCAGGATCCAGAGGCAGTTCATGGCTGTGTACCAGGCTGGCGAAGGTCTCCACGCCAACGAAACCGGTGTTTTTGGGATCAAGCTGTTGAAGGAAAGGAAAATCAACTCTGGGCCCTAATGCCATTGGCTACAAAGCATGAATCTGAAGCGTGAGTTATGATCCATCTCAGAAGCGGCCCGCTTATTCTGCACAAATGCAATGTTTAGGGCCACATGGAGAAGACCGGATCTTGAGCAAAGTTGAGGACAAAGTAGGATTTCCAAAAATCAAGGGAAAGATACACTTTCAACTATCCCCAGTTTCTAGCCATTTCCATTTGTGTGTGTGTAGCGGGGCTGCGAAGGGGGAACCAAGGACAGACAACACTAGCACAGAGAAATATCAACTTTTTGACTGACCCCACGCATTTCAAAAATGTATTTCTTCTTCGGGGAACTTCAAAAGCACAATCCGGGAGTCGTTAGTGAACTCAGGAACCCTAAGGTAGCAGTCATTCAGGACACGCATAGCCACCTTAATTGAAATACCTGATTTTATCCTTGAAAGAGAAGAATTTGGGAGATGAACATGAAACCCAGATTCTTCTGTTCCCATAAATTCATGCTAAACCATGGTTTGTTGAACAACCTTGATTCCCATTAGGTTAAGACATATCTCATGGTTTTATAAACCACAATGTCTGGGTTTGCACATCAGATTTAGTCAGAAAAAAGCAAACCACAGAATACCCTCAGATCACACATGGTTTACTTTAACCACTGACTGCTGAATAAGCTATGATGGTCAAGTGCACACACCCACATTAAGCAAAAACAAACGATACGAGCGCTTTGCAAACTATGGGAATATTATTCAGTCCTTCAAACCAGCCATTGAAAACTACAAAACCCCCAAGCACAACATCTGTCCATTTTCCCCACTTGCCTCCTGAGGCTGCATTTACATCATGCGTTTAACCAGGGTACTGAATCACTCATTTTCACAATGCACCGATTCACAGCCAAATCAATTGCACTGGCCACCCGTAAGCTACCAAAAACTTAACCTAGATACAAACTAAGCTTAGCAGGTTGTATAAATGCAATGGCTAGGTTTCTCCCTGACTCATCCAACAAGCCTTTGGGAACGCACCCTGGATGTTGGCAGAGAGCTGCACTTCTGAATGTGCTTTTTAACAGAGGGATCCCAAATATTGGTGCAAACTTTGGACCTCAGGAACAAAAGCTTCTTTCCTTTCCTGAGTAGCACTTTTCCTCTCCAGATGCTAGGACTGACCCCAAATTGTCTGCATTCAGAGGATCGGCTGTACCGCTCAGCTGTAACCCCCTTCACAGTTGCATTGTTACCGACTGACAAACGTCCCCAGTTTGTCATCCTTCCACTCGGTCGTCTTCATGGCCTTTCATTGCAATCCACCCCATCCTTCCTCTTTCTAGCAAGGGGGGGGCATTCTCAGACCGACTTCAATCAACCCTCCCTGCACCCAGAGACCCTAATTCAAACCCAACCCAACCCAGAACACCATCATTAGGCAACAGACTCCATCGTCCCCATGAGGCAGACCAAATCTTCCTCCCAACAGGCTTGCTGAAAACTTTTTTCCAGTCTGCTAAGACAAGGGCCTTTATGACATCTCGGGGCAAGTCTTTTACAGAGCCAAAGGAAGCCACAGGATTGCATTTTTAGAAAGGCGATTTATTTCAGCTGCTTCTGCAGCAGCTTCTGATAATTTGGGTTCATTTACATCTTATGAAGCTCATTCAACAAAT